ACATTTAACTTTTTATTATATTAAAATAATAATAAGCAACACTATTGTAACATTAAAACACTCTGTGAAGAGTTAATAAATATTTCATAGTCTTAGATTTTTGAAACTTTATTCATGTAGGGAACTGTATTAAGGTCTTGTTAAGTAAGCTTCCCATCCCTCTCTACTTACTAGGGATGAAATGAGAATTGAAAGAAACTAAGGACAGGTTTGTTGAGTTACAGTCAGTAATTATATCAATCTAATTCTTGTTAATTTTTTTCAAGAAACAACATAATCAAGCGATTAAAAGCCATCCAAAACACTGGGAAAGGCTATGAAACCCAGAACCTCTACATAACACTGATCAAAATTGATGACTACCAGAAAAAGGTTATGCGGGTCTGGACTGAGAAGCAGAAGTCTCTAGAGCAGAAACGCAATCAGTACCTAAGGGAAATGATATACTTATTTGGCCAGGTAACCTGTTTTCCATTCTCTAGTTCCAGCATGTTGTAAAACAATGAAAGTGATAAGCTTTGAAAATAACATTTACCTGGACACACCATGTATATTAGTTTCTTAGGGCTGCTGTGACAGATTACCACAAACTTGATGGCTTAAAACAACAGAAATTTATTCTCTCAGTTCTAGAGGCCAGAAGTTCATGAAATCAAGGCATTTGCAGGGTTGGCTCCTTCTGAAGGCTCTTAGGGAGAAATCTGTTAAATGCCTCTCTCCTAGATCGTGGTGGCTGTTGGCAATCCTTGGCATTCCTTATCTTATAGACACATAACTCCATTCTCTGCCCCTGTCCTTCAAATGGCCTTCTTCTAAGTATGTCTTCTGTCTTCTTTTCTGTCTCTTACGAGGCCACACGTCATTGGATTTAGGAACCACTTGGTAAATCCAGGATGATCTCATCTTGAGATCTTGATACATTCATATGTTTTGGGTGGATATATCTTTTGGGGGGAACCACTATTCAACCCACTACACTATGACTTCAGTGAAACTCCTAAACTGACAACAGCAACACTTGCTAGATCTCTAGAGGAGAAAAAGGTGAGAACAGGAGAAACTTTTAGAAATGCTCAATTTCTTCCTGATTCACTCACATGTACTAGCCCTCGGATATGAAACTTCTTGAAGTCACTGCTCTCTAACTGATTCTGAGTGGTTACTTCTCTCCTCAAAACTATCAGGAAGCTAGTTTTAATATCATGAGTTTATAAGAAAGGAGATAAGGGTTTAACTTGCTTACACAGCATCAGGCACAGAAAATCCCATTAAATTCTGACTTTGACTCCTTATGTCCCAGAGCCCTCTGTGAGATAACCATCAATATGCATTTGGGAGTGACAGTGACCTTCCAAAAGGTTATAGAGCTGAGATTAGAGTTCTTTGCCCTGGGATTATGTGTTCGGTTATTCCTAGCACAAACTGGAGTTCAATAACCATAAGTATATATATATATATATATATATACACACACACACACGCACACATATACTCAGGGGAGGTATGTGTGTATGTGTGAGAAATACATATATTCAGAAAAAGATCTTTGAGGAGTCCTCATCACCTACCAAAAAAAAAATCCAAACTCTTTAACATACCTTTTTTTTCTTTTAATTTTTGTTGGAGACAGGGTATTGCACAGTCACCCAGGCTAGAATACCATGGTGTGATCACAGCTCACTGTAACCTTGAACTCCTGGCCTCAATCAATCCTCCTGCCCCCCAAAATGTTGGGATTATAGACGTGAGCCAACATACCTTTGAAGGCCTCTTAATCCAGCCATTCCAGTCTCATTTCCCACTATATCCTTTCACACATCTGTGATCTAAAACTCCCAGCTTACTCACCACTCCCAAAATACAATTTTGGTTTTCTTGCCTTTGTTTATGGTATTCCCTCGACCTGGAATTCCTCTTCTCCTTCTTCCGTACTCTGTTAGTAAGCACAATGGTCTTCAAATTTTAGTTAAGTAAAATTTACCTGAGATTTGGCTTAAAATACAAATTCCTGAAATCTACCACCAAGATTTTGATTCGAAAGGTCTGAGGAAGCACCCTGGAATCTGCATTTCAACAAACACCCCCAAATGATTCAGCACAGGTGATCATAGTCCACACTTTGAGAAATTTTGATATTGTGAAAGAGAGAAGATCTGGGTTTGCTTCCCAGATCTGCTATTTATTATGTGACTTTAAATAAATTGTTTAACTTTGCTGAGCTTCCTTTTCCTCTCCTGTAAAATGGGGATGGCAAAACTCTATCTTTTTAGGACCACTAAATGTGGTAGTGTACATTATAGGAGAGAGAGAGAGAGAGAGAGAGAGAGAGAATATTTTTATGACTCTTCTTCAAGATCCTATTCAACATCTTCCTATAAAGCCTTCTTTATTACTCTTGTTAGAATTAATTATGCCTTCCTTTTTGCTCCTACAGCATGTTTATATATCTATTTAGCATTTATTTCATTCTATCTCTTTTTTTGGGTGGGGGGAAGATCCAAGCATCTGAATCATTCTATCTTTGATACAGTTAATTTTTTTGTCTCTTATTCTGGATTGTAAGTGCTTTGAAGGTAAGGACATTGTCTTTTTCGTATTTGTATTAAGTATCTTCTATGTGTCTTACACATATCAATACACTAAAAAAATGGAATTATTTTGTCCCCTAAGGTAATTTTTATTACAAATAGGCACATTTAACTTTTTATTATA